ATGCTTTATTTGTTTGACAATACATATAGCAATAAAATTCGTAAATTGGACAAGGGTGAACCAATTTCAGTGCTGGAATCGGCACTTAGAATCTGTAAACTGGGACACTGATAGAAGGATATAGTAATCAATTAATTAATATTTTTTGTTTTTAATTTAGTTTAGTTTTGGAATAATACCATCCTCTTTGAATTATCCGTACATTAAGATTTTTTTGTACTTTACAATACGTTCTAACTTTAACGTAATGATCAGTTGTAATATTTAACATTTAAGGTTCTGATGAATACACTTAAGAAAGTAATAATCTTATATTCTGTCGCTTGCTCCAGTATTTTATGAAAAATATTTTGAATTCTTCAAAATACTTGCAATCTATCTATTAGGATTTATATATTTTTTTCTTGTATGGTCACTTGACCATACTTAAGTCATCCTGTTCCTCTATTTAACTTAATTATTTTCCTTAATATTATAATAAAAAATCGAAATATCGCATGCATAAAGCACGTTAAAAAATTTATAACAAAATTCTTTAGTGATGTCAGCTTATTTTTGATAATAATTCATACCGCGATTTTTTTAGCCGCCCCTTTTGTTTGGCAAGCATTTTAATAATACATAGCTTTCTGCAAAAAGATGTGACTGTTGTTTTGGTTAACAAACTCATAACATTGTATTTTCTAAAAATGAACTATCACGAGAACAAGATGTAGAAACATCGAAAGGCACAACTCAACTACAAAGACGATTGTTTCTGTAATGGAATCGCTTTATTTCATCTAATTTTAATGAGTTTTCCGTAATATAGGCAAGTCCCGGGGATATTTACGCAATTCAAATACCTTACCATCTTACACCATTTCTATTTCTGTCATTTTAATATTAAATTGAACCGGAAAATTCTCACGGAATCCATACAAAGTTTATAGCATTCATAATCAAGTTATCGGGGAACTTTCGCTATAATAAATAAATAAAAATATCTTTTAAAATTGAGTGTCCATCAGCTATAAATTATAATTAATAACCAAATGAGTGAAAAATCAATTTAAATCTTTTCTTCTTCCAAGCTTTTAATGGTGTTTCGTGTATGCATATATTTTCAATGTTTAAATAGCAATTATAAAAGATCATTTTTGTTCATATTTTCCCGGCGTTAGATTTATTTTAAAGTTTTTTTTTTAATTATAGTAAACCCATATCATTGTAAGAATTTGTGTGAAATTTGTCGAATGAAATTATAGCTCTTTGTTAGACATTCGCTTAAAAAAATTGTTGAAGACTTACAAAAGCAAAACATTTAATTTAATTTATGAATATATAATTATTTTTAAAGCTGATTCAGTGCCTTTATTCAATTGTAGGCTGCCTTTAAATTTAAATCGGAAAGTATTCCGTTTTATTTGAGTGGTTGACATAAAAAATTATTTTTAATTTTCGCGACAATACTTCAATGGATCTATTTTGTTTGACTTTTGAAAATAGTCTTTATTTCGATGCATTGCCTCTTTGACTGGACTAAAAGGGACATGGATGAATATTTTATATATAAATTTATATAGGGTGCGCCAGAGAAACTTACTTATTTGAAAGGTCAATAAAAAAAAAAGTACTTCAGTTATTGTTTTAATTTTTTTTTTATTTGAGAATACAATATCCCAATTTTTTTTTTATGCAGTCTTAAAAATGACATCGGATAAATGGTGACCCCCATTGCGCATACACTGATGAAGTCGATTTTTGAAATTCGTATCCACTCTTCGCAGCATATCAATCGGTATGTTGGCAATGGCGTCGCGAATGTTGTTCTTGATGTGTGCTATGGTCCGTGGTCGATCGACATAAACCAGGGAAATGTGGAAGTGAGCCTCGTCACTGAAAAAAACGACCGCGTCTTCAGGCAGGTTGTCAATCAGCATTTCACATGCATTTCGACGGGCAACAAAATCGCGTTCAGTTAATTCTTGCACAACAGCCAATTTATAGGGATGAAATTGAAGGTCTTCATGGAGAACTCATCGAACAGTGGTATCAGAAATTCCCATAGCAGCTGCGTGTTTGCGAGCCGAACGCCGGGGAGAACGCACAACTGACTGCCTCACTCTTTCGATATTTTCCGGAGTTCTGATGGTCCGTTGAAGTCCATTTCTGGGTTTAGCGACACATCCACACTCCCGAAATAAGTTAAACCACGACAGAATCGAATTTCGGCCAGGAACGAGTCTGTGAGGAGGAATTTCAAAGCGAGCGCGGAAGGCACGTTGCGTAGTAACAAGTGAGCGACCGTTAGAAAAGAAGCTCTCAACTGCGAAGGCCCGCTGCTCTCTAAACCAGAGCATGATGGCAGCTGACTGGAGGGAGAAACAAACTTGGGAACTTCCCCCTCCAGATGCGCCCCCTCTTGCCCCTCTACCCGCCCAACTCACCGCGCGGTAATTTTTTTAAATAAGTAAGTTTCTCTGGCGCACCCTATATATATCTCTTTGTTACAAAACTTTACATTTATCTACTTCAAACACGAAGGCTACTTAACTTATTTTTGGTTACGCCTACAATTTCTTTGGTCTCATTTCAATTTTGTTATCATTAGCAAATGTTTTCAATATATGACTTAAATGTAAAGTTTATGTACTTAAATAAACATACTTCTTAAATACAAAACGGAAATAAAATAGCGTTAAATGGAATAATGAAAAGGTCGCTTCTATTATATCTAATCATTTTATTGTTTTATTCTTAAAAAATCATAAAAAAAACTATAGAATTTATTTCCATATTTTAAGGTGGCCAATTCTTTTAGGAAGTTTTAAAATAATAATAAGATTTTTAACTACGTTCATCGCACAGATGGTGCACAATTTTCTCGCGAAGTTAAGCCGATTAAATTTTTTACTATCCCTGAATTAATTCTTCTAAGATTCTTAATATTCATATTCAAGATCATATATCAATATCAAAAATAGTCAGATTTTTATACTGAAATATACGCATTTTCATAAAAAATAACATATTGCAATTAACTTAATGTATGTGGTAAAATATTATGGTTCCTGTTTATTTCGTAACTTTGAAATTACTCGGTATTCTTACATACTGCAGAAAAATATGCAGCGTTAGTATATTTTTGTATTTATATTTTTATGATATCTATAAAAATAGTATATTTTTTAAATATTTAATAGCGGAGTATATTAAAAATTCTAAATTTAATTGAGACTATAATAATTTATCACAGAAATGCTCTTTTGTTTTCTTTTTTATTTTTATTTATAGTACAGTCTATATACTTGTACAATACTTTATGCATTATGCGATTGATTCATTAAAGATCCTTAGACTTTAAACATATATAAAATAATACTACATACTGCCAATTAATACCAATAAATACGTCGTTTATGACTTATATTTAAAAGTGCATAGAGCTTAAAATATCAGAGATGTTCTGCCCATTAAGTAATCTAAATTATTCTGGGACATTCGTGAACAATAGTTTGTATCCTTTACTACGGACTAGTACGATCCTGTTAAGTTTTAAAGACTCGGACTTTGAATGGATTTTGCTCTGTAATGTGGTATATTAGGACCTTTTGTTAGTCGTGTTATTTCCGGGAATGAGCAAGTTTTATATAAATCTTCGTGATTTTGATTTGAACAAAAACCATCCAACTATTAATATTACGAATGGAATTTTGATATATTATATACGTTACTTATTCAGCAAAACTGTTCAAATGAATAGGATATTTTTATGAACATAAAGCTAATATTTACTACATTATATAACAATGATTTAAACTTTGTATTCAATTGTAATGTTTATTCAAACTATGACTAAAATAATCTGGGACTGAATATCTGAAAGCATTTGTTAGTATTAGGTCTCAGTCTTTTAAACTTATTAGTACTAACACAATTTACACTCAAGATAAACATTGTGATACAACAAGACCAAAATTTCTCAAAATCCATGTCGTGTTTTCAGAAATAAAATTTTCCAACAAGTTTCTTATCTTCACGAACAACGTCGTTAAAATTCGAGACATATTCTGTCAATGCTTGATACCTTCATAAATTGAGTAGAATTTTCTCATCAGAGATTTGTCTTTAATCTAAAATGTTTAAACATATTATATGTTGTGGAAATATGTAATTAGATTACATTTAACAATTTTGATTGGACTGTTTACTAATTGTCGCTTTAATTAGATCACAAAATTATGTATAATCTAAATATATATATATATATTGCTTTTCGTTATGTTTTACGTGTTTCACCATGAACAGTAATGAATATATCTTTTATTAGAACATGAAAAACTATTTTGCATCCATTAACACGCGAGATAACCTGACGCCATACACTACAACGATTAGAAAGCTTAAAACTTAATTAAATATAACTTTCCTTTATTTTTCTAAGATAACTAATTAAGCATTTTGATTAGGCTTTTTAGTTGGGTGGGAATATATGCGCAAACATTAATATGTCTTACGTTGAAAAAATCTTGTCGACTCTCTGTTGATCGAACATTTCAGCGAACCAATGGTTCTCCAAGTACACTTGAAAGTTTTCTTGCAGGTCAAGTGGCTCGTCATTAACGGGAGCAAAAGTTATTATATTTTAAGGGTATATTTTAATAAGAATAAGTTTAAACATTTTGTTCCAATATGTCACTAACCCACTAAACCACATTGGAGCTGCGTTGTGGTTTATTCTCCTAGCCCTTTTTATCCCTTAATTAGGGGTGTAGCTGTGGATAATTACATTAGCTTAGTTTTCATCTATTAAAACAAAAGTCCATTAAATAAATATGAACTTTGTATTACATAATACATAAGTTGGACTTAATAATTCAATTTCAATAGAAACAATGTACATTTACAGTGAACATGCAGATTAGAGTAAAATACATTTCCACGTAATTTTATATTGTACCACATACTGACTGCACTGCTCGTATAGTTTAAAATGAAATTTAGAATATAATTGATATTTAACTCTTCGTCCAACTGGTCGACCACCTGATCGACAACTGATCGTCCAACTGATCGACCAACTGGTCGTCCAACTGATCGTCCAACTGGCCGACCAACTGATCGTCCAACTGGTCGACCAACTGATCGTCCAACTGATCGTCCAACTGGTCGACCAACTGATCGTCCAACTGGTCGACCAACTGATCGTCTAACTGATCGTCCAACTGGTCGACCAACTGATCGTCCAACTGATCGTCCAACTGGTCGACCAACTGATCGTCCAACTGATCGACCAACTGATCGTCCAACTGGTCGAACAACTGATCGTCCAACTGGTCGAACAACTGATCGTCCAACTGGTCGACCAACTGATCGACCAACTGATCGTCCAACTGGTCGACCAACTGATCGTCCAACTGATCGTCCAACTGATCGACCAACTGATCGACCAACTGATCGTCCAACTGATCTTCCAACTGATCGACCAACTGATCGACCAACTGATCGTCCAACTTGCTTATATCTAAAAACAAACAGGGTCTAACCCTCGCAGCGTCTACTCAGCGTTACACAATACAATATTTGAATCCAGTTCCGGTTATGAATCTTTAATATATGTAGGTACAAAAATATAACACGATTCTCATATAAATTTCTTTAACACGAACGAGAAAAACTTGTACGAGAATTTACTAAGAATATAGAAACTCTGGATAAAATCTTTATACTTTGATCGTATATATTCCTCGATACGTCACTTGCTATCTAATGCGAACAAATTTTGTATATCGTTGATTGCATACATTTGGTACACAAAAAGCTTTCTTTTCAATTTACTAGGTGTAACTTGTCAAAATCGTGCTGTCAATAAATTGTATTAAATGTTACTGTGTTATAAATATAGGCATAAATTGTGTTCAAATTATACGAGATAAAAAGAAAATTTAATTTGCAATGTCATAGAAAATCTGGAGGCAAAATCATCATACTAAATGAAATTTTTAATTCACTTTATTAATAATAACAAGGAAATAGTCCAAACTGACAAAACAGATGACGTTACTATGGTTACAAGAAATCAGGGCTGTGATTGGACAATTGAGTTTTGACAATGCCATTAACATTCGGTTAGCCGACATTCCGTCTAATGGACGGAGCTCCAGAGCAGAAATTGATATTAGTGGCTGATTAAGACATTTAAACGGACATTTGTGCGTGGTGGGACGCTCGATACATCTAATAGAGCATCAAACGCCTTAACACGATTTTACTTATTTAACATTGATTGGTGAAACTGGGTCTAAGACTAGATATTGTCCACGGATCGTTAATGAGTACTGGTCACTTATTTAACGCGTATAAAAACGTGTAAAAGAAAGTTTGAGTAATAAGACGCGATCATATCATAATTTAGTGAAAATGATTTGAATCTATAAAAATAATATTCGTTATGTAATCTCCGACCCAAAAAGCGGGGTGTTATAAAATTGATGTATGTAGATGCTGCGTGTGTGTCTGTATGTGGAATGGTAGCTCTCAAAGGGATCATCCAATTTCGATGTTTTTTTTTTAATCTGAAAGCCAATCACTTTGCAGTAGTTCTTATCTATGTTTGGCTAATATCGATCAAACGTAGGAGCACTTTTTCAAAATGATGTAACTTATTTTTGTCCCATGATTACGTGATCTTGAAATGACAATTGATGTGTGGTCTATTTTTTATTAAATAAATTTTTCAGTTATTTATATTTTGGCAACTATTTTATTAGGTTTATATAAAACTTTAAATCCTGTTTCCCATATCTAATTACAGAAAATTAAATTACCACGCAGCTTGATACTGAGTGATTCATGGCGATTCATACTACGAGTACAAGACTTTGCTGTTTTGCTCCGATACGTTTTTCATCAAATGGAACTGGTTGCTACTTGCCACGTTCTTTCAAAATTTTTAATACTATCGCCGTTACAATAATTGGTTCGTTAATACTGTTATTAAAATATTTTTCAAGTCACAAAATGAATCCTTGGTGGTGTTTAGTATGATCATTGGAAACCTGTTCTTATTCAAAGGATACTGTATACATATAGTATGTATAGTCACATTATTTTTAGTAAAGACGAGTATTATATTATGCACAAATACATATAATATTATGAGGCAATGTATTTTAAAAATGAAGTGATAAAATCTTTGAACATCTGTAACGATCAGTAAAGCATAATAAATATTTATAATAGAATAAATTATTTTATTTAAATGCTGCATATTTAAGGCTAAAAACAAAAACATATTATTGATACATAAAATTATTTCAATAAAACACTACAAGGACATTAAACAATATACGAATACTTTTAAGTGTGTCATTGGAACTTTGGAACTAATATACAAAGAAGGAAATATATTACTATAAATGGACTATTTTATCTATTTATTAATTTTCAAAATATAATATTAATTTGTATTTACATTTTTAGGACTGTTTCTGTCATACAGGGTTTACTATTTCGTAACAATTAGCACGGACAGTGTTTACCAAAGAAGATTCTTATTTTATAGCGTTCAAACAATGTTAAATATGACATTATTTCTTTATGGAGCTTTCAAGAATGAAGTGAGGATTAAAGACTATCTGATGTATGGAAGTAAAATATATAAGGTATGGTATTTACTTTTAAGATTTGTTAATGACTGTCAATTAATATATCAAAAATAATTTTAGACAATAAGATGCTTAAAAACTGGTAAAGAAATGCCAAAATTAGGATGGCAATTTCATCTGGACACATGTTTTTGAGGCATTCTCGCAATGTTTGATGATGTTCCCGTTAATGAGATTTTTGTTATAATGTGTAACCATTTATTATGGCATCATTATTCAATTTACTGCCATAAATCTTCTTCAGCTGCAATTTGTGAATATGGCAAATTCCATCAGCGTTCCATTTATAATGTTCAGAGCAGAATTAAAAATAGAACTAACTAGATTGACTGACAGTGGATTGTTAGTTTTAACTTGATCGTTATATTTCAAACAAACAATTTATATATTAAGTATTGTATTGTTAATTTCATGGACTTTAAAGTTAGCATCAAAAGAATTTACGTTCACTAAAAACATTAAAATTTCTGTTTCAGGGATTTAAATATAACTTTGGAATCAATCAATGCTGCCATTGATAGGATCGGTTCAGTCGATAGCACACCTCAGAGTACGTTACTACAAATAATGTCTCATTAATACATAATTAAGTTTTATGTTATATATTCGACACATATTTATTATTTTTTTAGACGACAACACTTTTAAAAGGCAGTTAACAGCGCAGAGGATCAGTCAAATCAAAAAGTCCTTCGTTCAAACATGTAATGTTTTAAAGGATTTCAATATGTCAGATAACTTTTTGTTATTTTTGTTACTTGTGTCTTTTACTTTCAATATTGCATTTACGATATACAGTATTCTTCTTACACTAGAAGGTATAAATTTAAAATTGAACAAAATTGTAATTGTTTTGTATTATAATTTTTTAATTCAATGATGACCAGAATTTAGTTATCTTTCATGAACTGGACAAGTATGTTTTTAAAGGAAAAAAGAAGAGTGTTTTAATTTTGATAAACATTATATTTAAATATTTTTTAAAATAGAATTTTATTTGTAAATGTTATGTTGCCTATCAGAGGCTCACTGCATATGTTCTTATATAAATATATTTATTTTCTGTTACTTTAATGGCACGATTCAATTCCTATAATGAGTTTATGACCAATGTTGCACTTTGAGAACCTAAGAAAAAAAATATTTTAGCTACAAAACTCTATGGATCGTTTTGCACTTCTATTAATGTTAAACCTAATACTTTATATTATTGGATTGTAAGAAAATATTACTGATGCAAGTCCTATTTGACTTTAATAAAAAAGTATAAGGTATAGCCTTAAGAATCGTTATTGAAATACATATATTTAAAATACACAAAACACTGATAAACATATTTGTTATATAATTTTTTATATACATATTAGTCTTTGTTATTAAAATAAAGCATATTATTTGTTATGTGAAGATGATAGCATACATACAGCGTTCATTTTTTTGTCTAGTGTCTTAAGTTGCCTATAGAAATCTTCAATATAAGAGTAATTGCGAATGAGGTGCCAGGCCTTAAATTTCTGCGAGAAATTTGTTTTTAAACCATATATCCCAAAGTAATAGATTTGCGCTATCATAAATAATAAATACTTTTGAAGATTCCTCGTTGAAGGACGACAATTTAAATTGAGTCAAAAGAAGTCTAAATTCAGCGCAACTGATTTTAATTCAAATTCTTTTTAACTGTATCAAATTAAGTTGATGTGGCAAATTGAGTGACCTCAAGGCAAAGTTGAGGGTAGTACTCCAAGCGGGGACAATTCTATACTTTGTAAAATAAGAACAAGTGCAGTGATGTAAAGTGCTGGCTTGTCTTAATCTATTAGAACAGGAGTCTTTAAAATGTTTAAGTATAAGTTAAAAAAAATATTTGCTCAATATATATAATAATTACTTACTTTTGTTCTGAAACCATAAACCAAGTTTTGTGATAATTCATACAGAAATAAAGATCTTAAAATCTTCTTAGAACTATACTTAAAACAGTGTTTTTGTAAACATATAAAAGCAGACACAAACAGTATTTAAATTCTATCTAGATAATATAATACATGATTGAAGATAATTTGTTGCAATAAGCGTGAAATGAAGGTATCGCAGAAAGCTGAATACTAAGACTTTTTAAATTTATATTTTTATTTAAACATATGTATATGTAAAATTTCAGATTTGAGTTAAAAACGTTCAAAGCTTTATTATTTACAATATTTTAGCGTTTTAAGAGAAGGAACAATGAAGTCTAATCATTCAGTCTGATTGTAATTTCTTGTATTCACATGGCCTCTATTGCATTGAGTCATTTATATTCAACGTTTGTTAAACCACTCGGTGATGAAACATGATGTACATATGTAAATTTGATTATTTCTAAATAAAAAAGAATTCCTATATTTATAATTTAATAATAGGTACTTTTGTAAAACTATAATTTAACTGATTATTAGAAGTATCTATAATCTTGTGGAATCTTAAGAAGCTTTAAGAGAACTTATATAATATATTTTTAACTTCAAAATATCAAATATACTTCAAATACTTACAATGTTCTTATGTATAGTGTCTGTACTTTACTTTTCAATGTCAAGAAAGGAGATGGAAACTGGTGGGCCCTAAGTGTAATTAGTTCAAAATTGATTTAAAAAATTACTTTATTTTTTTGTATGAAATACCAATAATCTGCATAAATTCTCAATCTACAAGCGGAGAAATATGCAAATAACTGTTTTTATGAAGCAATCGATTAACGATTAATTAAATAAAAAATGATTATTCGATTATTTAACTACAAAATAAATTTTCACTCCTAGTTTTAAACTTATAGTAACTTCATTTAAACTACACCATAAATGTCT